GCATTTCTTGAGAACTTCGGCACAATAGTTTTGTATGCAGTTGTGGTAAGTGATAAGATCTATTGAAGGGGCGCTGACACTAAGCTAGGGATATCGAAACAAATTTCAGGGTACTGTGCTGAATATAGTACTTCTCGGTGGAAGTCTGATTGCTCTTTCAAGTTTGGGATTTATGCACGGTTTTCGGATCGACCCACTTGATTGCCTTATATTCGCCTCGTTAATAGCAGCTGTTGATCCAGTGGCGGTTTGTTCTCGAAAATTATTTATTGGCACTTGGTTTCGATCGCTTATTTTGGAAGGCGCCCCGTACCCGACTTAGTTGTGTTCTAATGACGGTAACGGTGTAATCCGCTGTGCTCTTATCCTCCCAAGCAAATTTTACGCCGATTAACTGAGCTCTAAGGGATGAAGGATTTAGCTGGTCTTCAAAAAACTCCATCCGGCCTTTGATGCCACCCTTAGAAAATTTCAGGTTTGGATTGAACGGAAGCTATTATCACATTCCAGGTTCTCGCGATATTTCAAGAAGTTGGAGTGAACAAGATGCTTTATTTTATGGTTTTTGGTGAATCTTTACTAAATGATGCTGTGACAATAGTCTGCTATAATCTCGTGATTGAGTTTAAAGAGCTCGATTCTATCGGTTTCATGGATGTAAGTCATGCTTGAGATTTCCTAAAACGCTGATATCACTGAGTTATAGTTCGAGATCAAAGAGTACAGCATATGGCGACACTGATGGTGAGAGCAAAACTGATTTTTTTGTGGTATTCAGGGGGGGGAGAGACCATTCCACTGCGCCTTACCATTCCTCAAGCAAGGCTTCGGCTTGGAGCGCAGACGACCGAACTTCCACCGAAACTGTCTGCGAGATTAGCGAAAAGCGACCCTGGTTGTGTGCGCACTGTCCATAAGGCAGCGTTCATACTTCGCGACAGCAGCGGCGATCGCGGCGACCTCGGCGATCGCCGCGATCGTCGGTACGTGGCAGAGCGCGCCCCAACGCTATTATGGACCGCTCGCTTGATAAATAAGGGAATCCAACTTGTGAGACCTTCTTTTCTCTTAATAATGGCTACTAACTGATAACTTACGACTTTCTATACATAAGCGGATCTGGAATATGAGGTAAGGAGGTTTCACTTCTTTTTAGGTCGGGATAAGGCCAACTCCATTTCCTGGGTGAGCTTCTTTTTGTTTCTTTTGTTTTTATTGTTTCATGCAAGCGCCTTAAAATTCCTATCGTCTGAACTGTTCCAACTTCCAAAACATTTATAGTTCACAAGTCGAGTTCAAACAACGAAGAAAAAAAAAGAAACAGAAAGAAACTCACCTAGGAACCAAAACACTAATCATTTTACGCAACATCAACAGGTGAAAACGTTATAACCTCATGTATAAGCTCGACGAATGAAAAAAGAAACAATAAAAACCTACCCTAAATGAAGCTCTCACGCTTTTTGCTCATTTCTATCCTGAATCAAGAAAGAAAATAGAAAACAAAAGCCATTAAGATGGGTTCACCTTTCTTTGTGTCAAACCAAGCTTCAGAACCTGAGAAAATTGCAGTTAAAGGAAAAAAAGCATGAAATTGAGTCGCTTCTTCCCAAAAGCCTTCGGAGCGCAAGTAATAGCGTTGGGGCGCGCTCTGCCATGTACCGACGATCGCCGAGGTCGCCGCGATCGCCGCGATCGCCGCTGCTGTCGCGAAGTATGAACGCTGCCTAACCTAACTCGATTACTTCAATTCAGACTTTAGACATCGCGAGACGCGCATCTACGCGCTACCATTGCAATGGCGCACCAGTGCTGAAGAAAACGCAACCACCATTAGTACCTGTCTCTCTGTCCCCACAAAGTGCACTAGCACGAACGAAACATGAATTGACGAATCATGCCTCTATTGGGAATTTCGCTGCGAAGAAACGAAACGTTAGAGTCGTTGGCGTGCTAGTTGAAGCCTGCAAAAGCTCTAGATCTAGCTCCCCGCTGATTTTTTATTGCTCACATAGGGCTGTCAAAGTGCGAAAGTAAAGGGAACGCATGAGTCGTGGTAAGCATTACTTAATAAACGAACTTATAGCTGTAAACCCTGTTCTTTTTTCTTCGAACTAAAATGAGGTATTTTCTAGTGTTTTATGGGATTTCTAGCATTCCTATGCGTTTCACTAGGAGGCTTATCTATTGGTCTCATTTGTGGATTTATATCTGCTCTGATCACAAAATTTACCAAACACGTCCGAGGTGAGCTCTCAGTAAGTTTTATACTTGGATAAGTTTGCTGATGATAAGTTTGCTGATCTGACTATCAGAGCTTTTTTCCACTGGCGCTTCAAAAAAGCTCCGGAGTTGACGAAGTCTATTTTGAATGCGCCACCCATTTGACTTGTATTCTTAGTGCTATTCGAATGAGTGTTGTCTCATGCAGTACCTTTCAAGGGTTAGTTAGGGCTATGTTTTGGTTTGGTGAATGACACTGATATCAGCCAAATGACTCTGAAGGAGTAGACTGCTATCTCGCAAGGACTGCCTAACGGCGCTAGTTTAAGCCCTTACAACGTAGGCGTTTAAGGTCCTGGTGCCCGTTTTTGAAACAGTTTGTTGTTGATCATCGCTTCATGCGGGGAAGACAATAAAAGTGTTTCTCACTTGTTCCTAGAAATTTCATGAGCGGGCGAAAAAAGTTCTGCGAGTTGTAGAACCTCGCGTTAGGAAAATCTTCTATTTTTCTGGACAAAAGATTTAGGTGCTTTTCGAAACGACTTAGTTCAGGAACGAATGCGTTTGCTCTCACTAGAGACACGAGACAAAAAAAACTGCATGCGAAAGTGCAACATTGGTTCATCGGGGGGGGATGGGTCGTAGCTGTCTGCAAGCGCTCGCGAGTCTTACATATCTAGTCCTTTCGACAGATCAAACAGTCAAAGCCGGAAGGGGGAGGAGGTCGTACCACGATCCTTTCTCCGGGGGGCGTCTCCACCGCGTTTTACACACATCACGCCCTAATTTGAACCATCAAGCTGATGTCCAACCAACCTCCTTCGCCTTTTCGAGTGGTCACGGAATGGGGAAATGAGTTACAATTTTGCTGTCCCCACATGAATCGCTACAATTTCCAAGAAGGTTGTCAAAAGTGTGCTCCACGACATGAACTCCCATATAGTTTGCAGCGGCGTCATTCAATCAGTGAGACCCCTCTGTCAGCCGGTTCTAACTCTTAAAGACGCCGCTTGGGAACTAGTATGCGGACTTGCCCAAGCAGCCACACAGTCCTGATGGCAGCCCGCCTCTTGTCAGTTAGTTGTCACTGAGTTCTGAGTACAAGATTGAGTAGAACTAGTTCCTTGTTCTTCTGCGGACACGTCTGAGGATATTCCATTCATTTAATCTACAAGCGATATTGCACCTTTACCATAAGTTGAGCGTACAGAAATCAGCCGGGGCCCAATTTACAAATTACGGCCTCACAAGTTTGTTAAGGGTCTTCATTTGGCTAGAAATAGTCTTCGAGGGAAACAGAGGACATATAGCCGATAGCGTAGCTCTCGGCGTCGGGGCGCTCTCAGCGAAGAATAGATATCGATGAGGAGGAGACAGGCAGTGCCGTAAGAACACTACCCGTGGGCTCTTCCCGTAGTGTCCACTGCCGCTTCCATGTCTCTTAGATGCCTTCCCGACTAATTATCGACTATATCAGCTGTGTGACATGTGCATGTAATGCGGGGGCCCATTTCACATTTCACTAGACAGCCATCTATTAGGTTTTTCGGAAAGTTTCTCAGCATTTTGAGTGTTTCACTTTAAACGATCATAGCTTTAATACTCATCGGATTCAATCGAAACAAGCAGCTTTCGAATCGGCACACTTTTGCCAATGTGAGGCGTAGTCGAGAAATCTTATCAAAGAAAAAACTGGGTGGTCGAGAATCTAAGAAATCCACGAAGGCTTTTTTGCCTGGTCCTAATTGATGAAGTATTTTCCAGCAAGGAAGTTCTGAAAATGTTTGAAAAGTGCTTGGTGAAAGGTCTGGAGAATATGGCGGGTGAGGTAGAACTTCAACCCCCAATTCGTTCAATTTATGGATAGTGATTTGTGAAACGTGTGGGCGGGCGTTGTCATGCAAAGAATCGGACCCTTTCTGTTGACAAGTGCTGGCTGCTGCGACCAATTTCGGCAACTTTCGTCGATTTTCACAGTAGGACTCTGCTGTGATGGTTTGGCCTGGTAACAAAAAGTTATAGCGGATCACACCAGCCGATGACTACCACACTGTGACCATAACCTTTTTGTTCGATGAGGATTCGGCTTTGGAATTAGTTAACAGTGGTCGTCGGCATCGACCAATTGTCCAGCAACGTCTCCTGCTTAGTCATACATGAATCCACTTTTCAATCAACAGTGACAATTCGATGCCAAAGCGCGGTCGTTTCTGTTGCACAGAGCCCAGTAAGAAGTAACCTCGAGACGTTGCCCAATTTTTCTGCCGGTCACTCAAATTGTGGGGCACCCACTTGTCGAGTTTTTTTTTACCTTCCCAATGCTTTTCAGACCATCCGCAACAGTGGATTTGCCAACGCCTAGCTTTTCTGCAATCTCTCGAACTGTTTGGGATGGGTCACCCTCCACAAATGCCTTCAAATCTTCGTCAGGTATTGCTTTAGGTCGACCGCTACGAGGTTCATCTTCAAGGCTGAAATCTCAGAACGAAATTTGTCGAACCATTGTCGCACGGTGCTTTCTCCAACACTAGTGGGCCCCCACACCTGCGTTATCTGTTGAGCTGTTTCGATTGCGGATTGCCCCAATTTATAGTCGAAGAAAAAAATCGTCCGAAGTGCTCTTTTCACATGCTTGAAAAAATCTTGAAAAAAGGGGTTTATCAAGCAATGGTGAAACGGCAATTATACCATCAGATAGCGCAAGAAATTCTCTACAGGATGTGCTACTGAGAAGCAAGGCAGAATGAGTTTTTAATCAGCAGTGAATGTACAAAGAAATAGGTGCACAAAACGCTGAGAACTTTCCGGACACTATAGGAATTAGATAGCGCGAAAAATTCTTATTCAGAATGTACTTTTCTGGAGACGCAAGGAGAGATGAATTTATCAAGCCAATGAATGTTCAAAATTACGTAAACAAAACACTGAGCAACTATTCCGGCAACCTAATACTTGTCAAACCCAAGGAAATATTGGGTAGCGGTTTTTCATGTACTACTGCTCTTAGTGCTTTTTAGTGGTTGAGCCCGTCATTATGTTCGGCTTGGCGTATTTGGCATACATGTGCAGTGAACTGTTTCATTTCTCCGGAATCATCGGGTACGTTTGCTTCCAGAAGTTGAAGGGTCATTTGTAATCACCAACAGAGAGGTTATGTTGCGGAGATGTTCAGAATTATTGCATGTGGCTTATTTCAATCCCATTATTCATGTGGGAACATCTCAAATAAGTCGTTCATCAGCGTGACATACTTCGCTAAAGTGGCAAGGTGAGTGAATCAGTAATGTTCCCCTTTTGTCATGTTTCCCCCCATATTCTACCCTCTTTTGTCATATTTCCTGCACGAATTTCGGTTTCCGGTCTTCGTTAAGCAACTAAATACCTTGAGAAGGAAGTGGTGCGGTGTTGATGGTGCTAATTACACTCTTTCCCTGAGCCAGAGTAGGCGTGGCATTTGAACATGGCACGGAATTGGTTACTCGTGGAATATTCCAGTCTGGGACAACTGTCATCTTGTTCTGTGTTGGACAGAGACACGACAACAATTGTGTCAAGATGAAAATATCTCACCAGAAGCATAGACACCTTCAGGTTAAGTTGAAACATGCAGCCACGCCTACCCATCTCAGGGACTTCGAGTATAACCACCCCAGTTGTTCAAGGGTGAAATCCCAGATTGAGGTTGCCTAGGCGAAGCAGGCCTTCTAGTTCTCATGATCGCTTAAGGACAGACTGTACCATTACTTCCGTGCACTCCTCTCGAGGTGAATGGGACCGCTGCTGCAGTAAGCGTACCACTTTGTCCGCTTAAAAGTGCGTGGAAAAAGCTTTAGGATGGTGATACTGTCTTCCGACCCGGCCCGCCTGCGCCCTCTCATTAC